ATTCAAAAAAAGATAAATGAAAATCTTACATGGGACCAAGAAATCAGCTTCACAAGTATAAGGTGTGGGAGGCATGGTTAGGTAAAAATTTGTCCTAATATGATCTGGGGAATCTTAATGGATTTCAGATTCAGTATAGGTCAATAACTTGATATGGTAGCCAAAAAAGCTAATATAATCTTGGGTTACATTTTTCTTATTTAATATTTTATTTTTCCCAATTACACATAAAAACAATTTTAACATATTTCTCTTTTCAAATTTGGAGTTCCAAATTCTCTCCCTCCTTCCCCTCCCCCCCATTGAGAATGCAAGCAATTTGACATAGGTTATACATATGTAGTCATGAAAAACACATTTCAACATAAGTGATTCTGTGAAAAAAAAAATAGAGACAAAAAACCCCCAAGAAAAACACAGTAAAAGGGGCAGCTAAGTGGCGCAGTGGATAGAGCACCGGCCCTGGATTCAGGAGGACCTGAGTTCAAATCTGGCCTCAGACACATGACACTTACTAGCTCTGTGACCCTGGGCAAGTCACTTAACCCCATTGCCTAGCCAAAAAAAAAAAAAAAAAAAGTAAAGAAAAAGTATTTTTGATCTGCATTCAAGCTCTACCAGTTCTTTCTCCTGAGATGGATAGCATTTTCATCGTAAGTCCTACTGAATTGTCTTAGATAATTATATTGCTGAGAATAGCTGTTATTCATAGGGGGTTATCATACAATATTGCTGTTACTGTGTGTAATGTTCTCCTGGCTCTTCTCATTTCACTTTGTATCAGTTCATGTAAGTCTTTCCATGTTTTTCTGAGAGCATCCTCCTCATCACTTCTTAAAGCACAACAGTATTCCATCACAATCATATACAACAACTTGTTCAGCCATTACCCAATTAATGGACATCCCCTCAATTTCCAATTCTTTGCCACCACTAAAAGAGCTGCCATAAATATTTTTGTACACATAGGTTCTTTTCCTTTTTGTCTTATTATCTCTTTGGAATACAAACCTAGTAGTGGTATTGCTTGGTGAAAGGGTATGCATGGTTTTATTGCTCTTTGGGCATAGTTCCAAATTGTTCTCCAGAAAGGTTGAATCAGTATACAACTTCACCAATAGTGCATTAGTGTTTTAATTTTCCCACATCCCCTCCAACATTTGTCATCTTCCTTTTCTGTCATATTAGCCAATCTGACAGGTGTGAGGTAGTAGTTCAAAGTTCTAATTTGCATTTCTCTCATCAATAGTTATTTAGAGCATTTTTATATGACTATAGATAGCTTTGATTACTTTGTCTGAAAACTTCATATCCTTTGACCATTTATCATTTGAGGAACGGCTCTTATTTCTTTAAATTTGACTCATGGGGGCAGCTAGGTGGTGTAGTGGATAGAGTACTGGCCCTGGAGTCAGGAGGACCTGAGTTCAAATCCAGCCTCAAACACTTAACACTCACTAGCTGTGTGACTCTGGGCAAGTCACTTAACCCTAAGTGCCTCACCAAAAAAAAAAAAATGACTCAGTTTTCTATGTGTTTGGGAAATAAAGTCTTTATCAGAGAAACTCACTGTAAAAAATTTTTTTCACAATAACAATTATCAACTATGTATTTATCTCTGTCCTATTTTTCCCATTTATCCTACTCTCTCTCTTTTTACCATGTCCATTCTGAAAAGTGTTTTGTTTCTGACTTTTACTTCCCCCAAACTGCCCTCCCTTCTATCAGCCCCACCCCTTATCCCCTTCTCTTCTACTTTCCGGTATGGTAGGATAGATTTCTACACCCAGCTGAGTGTGTATTATTCCCTCTTGGAACCAGTTCTGATGAGAGTAAGGTTCATGTGCTCCCCCACCCACTTCCCCCATTTCTCCATCCACAGTAAGATCTTTTTTCAGGCTTCTTTTATGTCAGATAATTTATCCCATTGTACCTCTCCCTTTCTCCTCTCAGTGTATTCTTTCTCCTCCTTTAATTTATTTTTTTTAGATAATCATACCATCTCATTCAACTCACACCTCTGCTTTTTGTCTATGTATACTCTTTCTAACTGCCCTAATAATAAGAAACTATTTAGGAGTTATATATATCATTTTCCCAAGGTAGGAATGTAAACAGTTCAACTTTAATAAGTCTCTTATGATTTCTCTTTCCTGTTTACCTTTTTATGCTTCTCTTGAGTTTTGTATTTAAAAGTCAAGTTTTCTATTCAGCACTGGTCTTTTCATCAGGAATGTTTGAAAATCCTTTATTTCATTGAATATCCATTTTCCCCCTGAAGTATTATACTCTGTTTTTCTGGGTAGGTGATTCTTGGTGGTAATCCTAGTTCTTTTACCCTCTGGAATATCATATTCCAAGCTCTCCAGTCCTTTAATGTAGAAGCTGCTAAATCTTGTGTTATCCTGACTGTGGCTCCATGATAATTTTAATTGTCTCCTTTTGGCTACTTACAATATTTTCTCCTTGATCTGGAGGTCTGGAATTTGGCTATAATATTGCTGGAAGTTTTCATTTTGGGATCTCTTTCAGGAGGTGATCAGTGGGTTCTTTCAATTTCTGTTTTATCCTCTGGTTCTAAAATATCAGGGCAGTCTTTCTTGATAATTTCTTGAAAGAAATTGGTGAAAGGGTATGCATGGTTTTATTGCTGTCTTTTTGATCATGACTTTCAGGTAGTCCAATAATTCTTAATTATCTCAGGGCAGCCAGGTGGCACAGTAGATAGAGCTCTGGCCTTGGAGTCAGGAGGACCTGAGTTCAAATCCAGCCTCAGACACTTGACACATACTAGCTGTGTGACCCTGGGCAAATCACTTAACCCTGATTGCCTGACCCTCCAAAAAATGCTTAATTGTCTCTCTTGGATCTGTTTTCCAGGTCAGTTGTTTTTCCAATGAAATATTTCACATTTTCTTCTATTTTTTCATTCTTTTGGTTTTGTTTGATTGTTTCTTGATGTCTCAAAAGTCATTAGCTTCCCCTTGTCCAATTCTAACTTCTAAGGAATTATTTTCTTCAGTGAACTTTTGTACCTCCTTTTCCATTTAGCCAATTCTACTTTTTAAGGAGTTCTTCAGTGAATTTTTGTGTATTTTTTTCTATTTGGTCAATTCTGTTTTTTAAGGTGTTATTTTCTTCAGTATTTTTTGTGCCTCCTTTACCAAGCTGTTGACTCTTTTTTCCATGATTTTCTTGCATCACTCTCATTTCTCTCCCCAATTTTTCCTCTGCCTCTCTTACTTGATTTTTAAAATCTTCTTTGAGCTCTTCCATGGCCTGAGACCAATTTACAGTTTTCTTTAAGGCTTTGCATGTAGGAATTTTGACTTTATTGTCTTCTTCTGAGTGTGTTTTGATCTTCCTTGTTACCATAGTAATTTTCTATGGTCATAATTTCTTTCCATTGTTTGCTCATTTTCCAGCCTATTTCTTGACTTTTAACTCTATGCTAAAGTGGGGCTCTGTTTCCCAAGTGGAGGGGGTGCTATTCCAAATTTCAGGGTTTTTGTGCAGCTGTTTTTAGAGTTAATTCTGGGAACCTGTAAGTTTTTTACTCTTTCAAGGTGGAATGATCTAGGGAGAGGTGTGCTTATTACTCCTATGCACTGTGCACTGATTTGTGAACAACCACAAGCACCCTTTTTAACCCTGGAACTGTGACCAGGGTCCCTGCTCCCCTGCAGTCATAAACCTCTGCAATGCTAGTGTTCCTCCTTGCACTGGAACTAAGATCCAGGACTGTGATGCAGATCCAAATATAGGCAGTGCAACCTGCCCCTGATGCCAGCAAAGGGACCCTTGTAAATCTCCTTCTAACCAATTGTCTGATCCCCTTACTGTATGTAGGCTAAGAGGTCTGTAAACCACCACTGCTGCCACTGAGGGACCCAGTCTGTGCTGGCTGGCACAGCCTCATTGAAGTTTTCAGGAAAAGAGAGACTGGATGACAACTTATTGGTATGTTTTAGAGAAGATTCCTTTTTCTGATATAGGTTTGACTGTGTCTGACTGGTCTGCCAAATTCTTTTTCAGCTCTTGAGATTCCACAGTTTTATGATTCTATGAGTTAATAACCAAGTTATAATCCAGTGTCCAGGTAGAGGATTCATTAAAGGATTACTTCTTTGGGATATTTGCTCTGCACACTGACAACCTACTTCCTGTTCTCTGATCCTAAATCTTTGATCCTCTCATCACTTCTGTTCCAATTCTCCCTACATCTTAGATGCTACTACTTTCGTTGAAAATGGGCATTAGCACATGATTAGGCTAATTATGCTTATCAGAGCTTCTTTCGCAGATAGAATGAGAGTAATTGAAGGAGTATTAAGAAGGGGATAACTCCAGAGATAGAATAGGCACTTGTCACTGTAATAGAGAGCACTGCATCTGGAATCAGAATTTGGGTTTGAATCTAAGCTTTCTTATTAGCTGTGTGACTTTGGGAAAATCTCTAACTTTTCTGGGCCACAGTTTCCTGACTTATATAAATAAGGGTTGTACTAGATGATTTCCATGCTTAATCTCATGATTCAAATAATGGAGAGTATGTCCTGCACCATGAAAGATACCCACCAAGAATATTTGGAAACTTGTTATTACAAGAGAACCTGCCCAAATATAGCCCCATGACCATAGGACAGGTCACATACAGTGAAGTCAACCCATTATCCACCTCTTATGAGCATGCTGGTAAAGAAGAGCCCTCTTAAGGAACCTAGAACCTTCCCTGGGATCAGGAAACCACATCAGAGAGAGACCATGTCCTTGGAAATGCTCTACATGTAGATTCAAAAAAATCAACTGTGCAAATACAGGATGGGGAGACATTCCTAGGCATTAGTTCCTGTGAAAAAGATTTGGGGGTTTTAGAGGACTACAAGCTCAATGTAAGTCAACCATGTGGCATAGCAAAAAAAAAAAAAAGTAACATGATATTTGGCTGCCTTAGGAAAGATGCAGAAAGAAAGGTGGTTCCATTGTATTCAGTGCACAATTTATCTGGACTATTGTGTTCAGTTCTAAGCACCAACTTTTAGGAAGGACATTGACAATCTGTGGAGTATCTTGAGAAGAATGAGCAAAGGTGTAAGGGGACTAGAGACCATTCCATGTGGGGGTCAATTGAAGAGACTAAGAGACTTTAAGGTGTTATGATAGCTGTCTCCCAGTATTTGAAGGGCCATGATGTGGAAGTGAGATTAAACTTGTTTTCTGGTTACTGCAAAACAGAAAAACTAGGAGTAGTGAGTGAAAGATACAGCAGGGCAGGCATTAGAAAGAAGTAAGTAAAAACTTCCTAAGAATCAGTGTGATGGAAAAGTACAAAGGTATGCTTCGTGAGGCAGCAGTTTTCCTCTCATTGGTATTCTTCAAGTCAAGCGTAGACTGGATGACCTCTTGTTGAGGTGGTAGTCTGGATTCCCACCTAGATACTGCGTAGGCTCACTGGACGCTGAGGTCTTTCAAGCTGAAATTCTGTGATTCTGTGATAGGATGAGATGCCTCAGTTCTGAATGACAGAACCAGGGACTGGACAGCTCTTGGTGCTATCAAAGAGATGTTAGCTTTTGTGCTTTGGTGTCATTGGGAAATGTGGTCACATCAGCCCCAGAATTCCCGTCAGTATGGGAGTTCAGGTCGGGATAGAATGAAGGAGACTGTGAGCAAGACGCTGCTTTGGAAGACTTTGCCTGGCTTGCCGTGGCCCTCTCTTCTGTTTGCTGTTGTGCCAAGACCAGAATCGCTTTGACATCTGGCCCTAAGAGAGACAATGAGAAGACAAGGAGAAACAGCCAATTTGCAAACAGAATAGAATATTACTCTGTTGTGAGAATGTTTTAAGAAATGAGTATAAATCCAGAGAACCATGGGAATGAATGAATGAATGAAAAAAGAATTTATTTAGGGCCAAGTTCTGTGTTAAATGATAGAGTTCCTGCCCTCAAGAAGCTCACACTCTCTAACCGCAAGAGCCAACAAACAAAAGATTTATGTGAACTGATGCAAACTGAAATAACAAGGAAAAAAACAGAACCAGGAAACATCAAAGTAATGAAAACAAGCTAAATGTTGGTTATCCAAAAACAAAATATATCAATAAAATGTATTTTTTTGAGAGGCAGTTGGGCGTAAATGACTTGCCCAGAGTCACACAGCTGAGTTCAAATCCAGCCTCAGACCAAACACTTGACACTTAATAGCTGTGTGACCCTGGGCAAGTCACTTAACCCCAATTGCCTAAAAAAATAAATAAATAAAAATTGATCAGATGGGTTGCTTCAACATCCCTAACTAGGAGAAATGGAGCTCATCCTGGTCATTGTCTCCACTCCATTAACTCCTGACCATATTCCTTATGCAGAGAGCATTTAGTATCTTAGCCTATTGCACTGAGGATACAATATAAACTCCTCTGTCTGGCATTTCACGTAGGAAGTAGGACTTGATCTGAGCCTTGAATGGAAAAGCTAA